ATAAAACACATTACCTAATTTTGTTAAAATTTTTATTTACAAAATACAAAATCTTATTACTTATTATCTATAAAATAGGAGCGAAACATCTCATCCACTAAAATATCGTTGTAAAATGTGTTCCCTGTAAATATACTCGTAAAACTATGCATTGAACATCCCTGAAACTTATATAGCAAATACATTAAGCAATATTCGCCACAAACTGAAGTCCACTCATTCTGAATCCTATCAACATTCCAGTTCCATCTTTTACAATTTCTTTTTAAAAACTCTAGATGATATTGTACAGGTGCCCGTCCGAATGAATCAAAATATTGACTGACGTCATTCGTATCGATATATAAAGCTACCCAATGTGACCCTGGTTTATCATCTGTATCCAAATTGCATATTATATACGTTGGTACGTGGGTGTACATGGGCAGTTTATTGGCAGCATAAACATTATTTTCTAGAGTGGGGTGAATCTTTTTCAGATGTTGTTGTACATCTAGTGTATCCATGATATTACTGCTATTAGTAGATTATTACAGTACCAATCTACTCAATGACTAACATAGGAATGATCAATTATAGTGATTTCTAAATATTAAATTGCATTCTTTGTGTTATACAAAACGTATTTGAGTCATCAATACACTGAACAAGACACGACACGTAGGGCGAAGGAATGTTCAGATAAGCAACAGAATGTGAGATAAGCTTGTGGACGCATAAATTTATTATCAATTCTAATTAATAAATTTAACCCCTACGAGGTACTTCATACATAGATCTTCCTCGTAACATAAAATTAAAAAAGGCTGTTATAAATGTAAAAAGCAAGGATTATTTTTGTTTTAAATGGGCGTTACTCTCGGCGTTATATCCCGTAAACAAAAACGCGGATCGGGTATCATCGTACGTTAAACATGCAAATAAACTTAAATTTGATGGTATTTCCTTTCCAGTTAAAATTTCTGACATAGCTAAAGTAGAGAAATTAAATGATATTAGTATTAATGTTTTTGGGTTAGAATATAATAAAGAAAAACGATGTAATTCTATAGTAGGTCCATTATTTTTAACAAAGTGTCGTAAAGATAGACATATCAATTTATTATTTTTTTCCAAGGATACAAAAAATCATTATTGTTACATAAAAAAATTATCGCGGTTAGTTAGTAAAAATATTTCAAAAGACGGTCACATCATGTACATTTGCGAAGCATGTCTACTTCATTTTCCATCTCAGGAGAGGTTAAATAACCATGAACAATATGATTGTACCCACATTTGTACAGAATTACCAAACAGTGAAACTTTAAAAAAAAAGAATTGGTTTGGTCAACCCATTTCAAATGATAAAATTAAATTTGATAGTTATGAACAAAAGTTAAAGATACCATTCGTAGTTTATGCTAATTTTAAAGCATTTTTAAAACCAATAGAATCATGTTCTAATGATCCTTCCAAACCTTTCACACACAATATTCAGAAACATGAAGTACATAGTTTTGGTTATTATATAAAATGTTCATATGATGATAAATTATCAAAATATGTAACATATTGCGGACCCAACTGTGCACAAGTGTTTATGGAAAGTTTATCTAACAATCTAAAAGAAATAAATAGACTTCAAAAATATCCTCCACTTCCACTAACAAATGAAGACAAAAACCAAATTTCAAATGCAACCATTTGTCATATTTGTGAAACAGAGTTAGCAGAACATTTTTATGATTTTGATTGGTACACCGGTAGTTTTATAGGTGTTGCACGTTAAGTTTGTCAATAGAATAAACACTTACATCCATGGCCTTTGATGCGTTGAAGTAACACAAATGTAGTATTGATAGATCCACTGCAGTCAAACGACCATACACTAACTCAATGACTGCAGTTGCTTGGTCTTATATAGTACCAGTAAGTGATAATTCTAATCTAAAGAATTTCTGCAGTGGAATTGATAATAAATTTATGCGTCAACAAGCTTATCTGACATTCTGTTGCTTATCTCAACATTCCTTCGCCCTACGTGTCGTGTCTTGTTCAGTTCAGTTCATTTGGTATCCCGTTCTTTCACTTCATTCAATCTTAGAATACCATATTTAAAGTTTAGATGCCTAAATTTGTGCAGTATTCATTTGTTTAAGAAAAAAAGTTAGTATTTCATTTGGTCTTATTACTAAACTTAGTAAATCACAAAAGAAGTTACTTAATTTTTATTTCGTCTGAGCTTAATTTGCCTCAGTCTTTGTAAAATTCGACATTGCTGTAAGATCCATTATAAAATTCTATTTTAATAAAATGGAATGTGTAACTTTTAGCTTCATTTTTATTTGTTTTATTTTGTTATGCTACTAGTGGTATTTGTTGTTTGATATTGTCTACTGGAAGATGTTGGTAGTCCTTCAGCCTTAGTTGTTCATTTGCTACATGGCTAATAAGTGTATGCTGTAATTTTTTGCTGATTGCTAGTAGAGAAACTAATCTTTACAATGAATAAACTCAAACAGGTTAGAATTTTTGTAAGAGCCGTCAGTTCACATTTCTCTTTCTACTATGTTAAGTTGTCAATATATTTGAAGTACAATATAATCATTCATTTAAAACATTGATTTTACAGGTGTTGTTGCTAAAAGGCCACCCTTAGCTGAAGTAACAAATAAAAGAATACTCTTAAAACACGCTATACACAAGAAATTGCCTCAATATCAAGTTATGTGCAAGAGACAACTATTGCTCAAACATCCAGTAAGTTAAAATTTATTTTATTGTATAAATGAAATTGAGGATAATATATTGTAAATTAAGTAAGGGTTTAGTATCGAGTCGCTTTAATAGGGGTTGTGGGGCAGGGGGAAGGGAGTTGGAGAGGGTTGGACTCACCCCCCACCTGTCGCCCCGCTGGAGATGCATGGTATTTTTATATTAAATGTTAAAGATCAAAATTTTATTAAATAATTTATAAGAAAAATCACCTTAATAGGTAGTCGGGGAGGGGGCGTGACCCCTCTTCACCGAAGCAGTAGCAAAGTTTACTTGATGGAGCCCCCGCTATTTCTGGGTGGTTTATGAAAAAATAACCACAAATCCTTCTAACCAAACCTATCTGAGTTGGTGTGCCCCAAGTCCCGAGCTTGCTTTGCTTACTGTTGTACCAAATAAAACACCAAAATGTTAATTTTAATAATTATTTTAATAGTAAACATATTTTATCACTTTTGCCATTATATTTCATGATGTTCCGTCTGCACAAGTACTCCACTATTGTATCACTAAAATATCCAATATCTTGAAAACGGTTAAGTTTGGTGTATGGTATTTCATAGTCGAAACTGTCGCTAATGATGCAAACTACAACCCCCTAAATGATCTAGGTCGACTTAACCCGTAACCCTATCATATTATATATTTCAATATTTATCTACTACGAGTATGTTTCAAATTATGATTCAAAATGCAATCAACTTGCAACAATTAAATTTATGTTTACTAATTATAGTACAAATCTAAGTTGTTTATATAAATATAATGTTTTGTCATTTTAATTTCAGGCTTGAATGTGACTAAGCCCAAAAGGACTCAAATTAGTACAAGACTTACTGTGTTAAAAAAGAAACTTAAAAGCTTGAATATAGCAAATGAGAATTTTTTACGTGGTAGAGCCAGGCTGCAATTATATTAATTATATAGTTGTAGCACGAATGGATCGGCTCGACCGGGGTAGGACCACGCTCTCACAGAATACCAGCGTCAAATAGCAGCTTAATGCTGCTGTGTTTCGTATGGTGAGTGTAGAGAACCGGAGACCCTTCTTACTGGAAAAGAGGCATTCCATCTTAGCCCTCAAGGCTGACAACGCATCTGCACTTTGATTTGCAAACGAGGATAGATGTAGATGTCTATGGGCCACAGCAACCAGCTAGGGAATGCAATCTCGAGATCTCGTCCATATTTTGCGAGACTGAGTCTCGTTCAATTTTTGTACGAGATCTCGCGAGATTGCGAGATTGAGCGGCGCAGCAAAATCGGTATGTATATCGTAGCGCGGTTGCGCGCGAAGCGCGAACTGTTCTGCGCATGGGCATGGCGCATGCTGTAGGCACTACTCGCGCGGGACTTGCGGGGCACGAGGCCCGGCTCACTCACTGGCATCACTTTGCCGGCAACGCGTGCGTTTGTTTACGTAACTATCTAGTTTTTGTTGAATTTAATAGATTTTTGCGATTAACTGGTTATTTTAGTGTAACATTTAATGTAATTTGGCATTGAACTATGTCGATAAACTCAAAAACAGTGTACAGTGAATACGGAAGTTCATTAGAAGTTTGGAAATATTGCTTTTAAGAGCCAATGATGGACTCAGTGCAAAAAAAAGTGCAAGGTATGTGGCAAGATTTTGAAAGCTAAAGACCGTTCTACAAAAGGCTTACACACACACTTGAAGTCTATACATAACATTGATTCGAAAAAAAAGGTTGAGGATGTTCAGATTGAGGAAAATGAAACTTCAATGAGGACTCCGGTCGCCGGGCCAGCGGCGCCAGAGCTACCAGCTTCCGGACCAGCTTCTTCTTCAGATAGTACTCTTCAGTAATCAAAATCACCAACTGTACCTAAAAAGCGAAAAATTACGGACCATTTCCACTACGAAGATACTTCGAAGGAAATTATGGTTTCAAGAATGGTGGCTAAAGACGGTTTACCTTTTCGTGTATTTTGCACCTCAAAAGACCTGAGAGATCTTTTTTGTTCTAAGGAACACAAATTACCGTCATCTCCTAATTCAATTAAACTTATGGTAATTAATTACGGAATGACCTTAAAAATAAAACTTAAACAAGAACTTTCTCAGCTCAAGGAAGATAACTACAGATTTACATTAACCTTCGATGAGTGGACTTCCTCTAGAAATAGACGTTACATGAACGTGAATGTCCACACATGCAAAGAAAATGAAGCCATATTTTGGAATTTAGGTCAGCTTAGTGATCAGAATATACGGCAGTATGCCTGCCGAAACTGCAGTGGATCTTTTGAAGAACAGACTTTCAGAATTTGAATTGTCTCTTGACGATGATGTAGTCAACATTACAACAGATGGGGCTAAGGTAATGATCAAATTAGGACGTTTGATTAATCCTCTACATCAGCTCTGCTATGCCCACGGCATTAAGTTGTCTATCATAGACGTTCTGTACAAAAAACAAGATTTATCTTTGTCTGAGGATAATGACATTGATGAGATATTTGACGTATCAGGAGAAGAAACCGAAATAAACTCCGATGACGAAGATGACGTTTTTAACTCTTTTTTTCCAACAAGAGAGGTATATCTGGATACAGAGTACGCGAGTATCAAAGAAAAGGTCAGAAAACTGGTCAGGCTTTTTAAGAAATTGCCAACAAAAAATGATCTCCTCCAAGTTTACATTAACCAAAAATTTGGCAAAAACTTACAGCTACAATTAGATTGCAAAACACGCTGGTCAAACCTTGCTGATATGATATCGACATTTAATAAAGTTAAACTGTGTGTCGGCAAAGCATTGATCGATTTAGGTCTTGACACTAATTCGGATTACTCTTTGAGTGCAGAAGAGTATATAGTTTTGAGAAACTTAGACAGAGTATTTCAGCCTATCAAACTCGCTGTGGATGTCTTATGCCGTCGAGATTCTGACCTGGTTACTGCCGAAACGACTTTAAGATTTATGATACGCAAACTTGAAGAACTGACGACAACATTGGCAAGAAAACTAGCAGAGTAATTGAGAAACCGCATAGCTGAGCGCCGAACTTGCTTGACTTCAGTATTGATATATTTGAGAGATTATGTCAAATATGAGGAAGATTTGGAAGAGTATGCGCAAGACGAAGTGTTCAAAATGTCACAGAAAGTCAGTATCCGAAAAGAAATTAAAAAACTTATAGAGAGAGCACTGCAAGACGCAATACTACTATCATGCACAAGAAAGCTCATCTGTTACAGAGCCACTTCCTTCAACATCAGCAGCTGCTTGTAATGATGTACTTGGCGAAAGCGAAGACACTAATGATGATGTGCCCCTTTCTGTTCTGTCTACGGCTGGAAAAAGTATTTCCCTTCAAGAGGAGCTACAAGAATCGTTGACATTGACAGCATTGAAAAAGCAAAATCGTTCAACAAATTCTGCAAATTCATTGGAGATACTCATTAAAAAAGAGATGAATTTGTATGAAGCTGGAGGGGTTAAAGGTGAACTCCTTCAGGTTGTACACAACTGTTTGTCGACTGTGGTTCCGACTAGTGTAGAGGCAGAAAGAGCATTTTCGGCCGCGGGGTACTTGGCCTGTAAAATCAGGAGTCGTCTATCAGATGATACCTTTGATATGCTCTGTTTTTTGAGAAGCCACTTTCAAAAATAACTTATTCTTTTAATAACACTGTCTAATAATATTTACATAGCAGAAGGCTGAATAAGTGTTACATTTCAAATTATTTCGAAGTGTTTTTTTGTTTTATTTTAAGTTTTTTTGTTCTTAATACTGCAGATGCAGAAGGCTGATTTTCAATTTATATAATAAGAATAAAACTGACGAATATTATATTATAACGAAATATTGTGTTTTATTTTAAAATAAATGATTATAATATGCCAATTACATGTATGTTTTATTTTTATCTTGTATATTGAAAATCAATAAACGGAATTAATAGTATTAGCGAATGTTTTTAGTACAAATACCCAATTGGGCGAGATCTCGGAAATCTCGTAATCGCGAGGCTTACGGTTGAGATCTCGGCTAGGTCTAAAATCTCGCGAGATTGCATTCCCTAGCAACCACTTACCATCAGGTGGACTGTGTGCTTGTCATACTTTTTCTATATAAAAAAATAAAAAAAGAAAGAACGAACAAAGAAGAAAAAGACTGAAGAAGAAAATGAATCTATTAGAAAATACTACTTTCTAGAAAGCAATTAAAAGTTTTACCTCAACGGCAACAATTTTTACGATGCTATAATTTCGAAAATTTGTTAAACACAAAATGGGCAGACGATTCACACCTGATGAAAAAGTGATGGCATTACATTTTTTTAAGCGTGGACCAAGAGCCTACAGGATACTGCAAAATATATTTGTCTGCCATCACCTTTCACCTTAAGCAGGATGGTATCTAAGGCCAATATTAAGCTTGGTATAAATGAAAACATATTTTACCAACTTAAGAAGCAAGCATCTAAAATGAAAGCCAATGGTGAATTGTGTACACTGGTTTTAATGAAATGGCTTTAACACCACATATTGATTATGACAGGAATAATGACAGGATTACTGGTTTAGTTGACAATGGTGATGTAGTGAGGAGAGAAATTAGATTTTTTTTTATAGAATAGGGTGATAAACGAGCACACAGTCCACCTGATGGTAAGTAGTTGCTGCGGCCCATAGACATCTACATCTATCCTCCATTAAAAATCAAAACGCAGATGCGTTGTCACCCGTGAGGACTGAGATGGAATGCCTCGTTTCCAGTAAAAAGGGTATCCGGTTCTCTACACTCACCATACGAAATACAGCAGCATTAAGCTACTATTTCACGCTGGTATTCTGTGAGAGCGTGGTCCTTCCCCCGGTCGAGCCGACCCATTCGTGCTACAACCAACTACTAATATAGCTGCAGCATGGCTCTACCACGTAAAAAAGAATAGAGGTATTCTAAAAAAAACTAAATAAACAGCCAATATCATACCTATTCATTTTGTGCTGGCAGTACAAAAAAAGCTTAATTAGCCTTAATGATTAAGAGAAATATAAGAAAATTGAAGGAGTCTGGCTTTAAAGTCCTTGCTACTGTATGTGACCAGGGAACATCAAATGTTCGTGCCAAGTGGAACATAGTAGATAAATATTGAATATATACAGGGTTACAGGTTAAGTCGACCTAGATCTTTTAGCGGGTTGTAGTTTGCATCATTACCGACTGTTTCAACTATTATAATGTAAAAATAACATTTTATTTCGATTAATTTATTTTATATACTGTCATTACTGCATACTTATAATTACTGTTGGATTTATTATTTTAAAATTGTTACTTTGATTTATTATCATTTATTTATTTATTTCTAAAATTGTGTAGATTGCTTAATTTTTAATTCATTGATTTTACTCGTTATGGGTGTAAATTGCCTGAATAAAGATGATTATTATTTAAAATTAAGTTTTGTGCATATAGTTGCAGAATTATGTACTTACTTACTTACTTATCTTCACGCACAATCCCTAACGGGGTAGCCAGAGACAGATCGCCAAGTGTCACGATCCTTACCTCTTTCGCTTCTTTCAGGTTCATTAACTTCTTCATACATGCACGTCTAGGTATCCGAGTACTCTTGACCTTACCCCTCTTCGAGCAATTTGCTCACATGGTCTTCGAAAGTTAGTCTCGTTCTACCTCGACACCTTTTAATATTTACTTTCGCTCTATATATTTTCTTCACCATTCGGGCTTCACTCATTCGCTCAACGTGCCCAAACCATTGGAGTACGCCCCTATCAATTTTTGCAGAATTAAGTGATCTTGTAAAATTCGTTAAAAATAATCAGTACACCAGGGACGGGGCTGTACTATATTATATATATAGATACTATGTGGAACGGGCAGTCGCCGACTGCCCTGGCCGAGGGCTAGTAGTAATCTCGATATTTGTCAGTATTAGTTAATATGAATATATTCGTCAAGTGATATAATATTTCAAGTAATATATGAATATCACCGATTAGTACATATTACTATTCTATTCATTTAGGTATTAAGTTTATGTTACCAAGTAACGGTAATAGTTTTTATAGCCGTGTATGCTAGGTTTATATGCTTTGATAAATATTTTTGTTTTTATTAAATAAATGATATTATAGTATATGTATACAGGTATTACATGATAATGATTTTAAGTGATTACAATTAAAATAAATTCCACTGCACAAAACAAGGGCCCTTGTTTTGTTAGTTTAGTTTTTAATAATGTTTTATGATACCTAAAAATATGTGAACTCATTTTAATGAATGTCGATATAATCTTAACAAGAATTATGGGGAAATACCATGGCAATAAAACTAATATATCGCCAATAATTTTATTATATTACATTAACTGAAATATACACTATTAAAAATACCACTAGAGAGTAAAGAAATTTTAGATATCTATAAAGGGTTTTTGCATTTGTACATTGTTGTATTTATGGATTATTTCATTAGAAATAGAAATGACTTATCTCCTCAACACATAGGGAACAATTTGTTGGCCGCTATGTCCCAGGAAACCTGCATACCTTTGGATTTTCTAAAAAAAATATACATGCTACGAATTTTTGCAATTGTTAGAAATAATAATGAAAATTAAAAAATTTATCGAAAAATTTAAAAATATATAAGAGTCACAAAAAATGTACTTCGTCTATAGTAATTTTCACGTGCCAAAATTCGAAGAATATATAATATATTTGTTGGTAGTTCTTTGTAAATTACTGATTATTTTCTGTATTGGGCATTATTCGGAACTTGTTAATATTCCTCGATTTAAATTGTGAATACTTTTTAATATAAGCAAAAACAAACTGGTACAAAAAGTTGGTGAGATGTAATTTCATAGAAAAATAAAATGTGTCCATGCGTAGTACATTTTCTTTTTCTTCATTACTTCGTCGTTTGAATAAAGTATCGTGATTTCTTAATGTTATGCTAAATGTAATTGCATAAAACTACTGTTCTAATAATAAGTGTAATAAAACTAGTAAAAAAAATAATTAAAAAACGATTGAATAAACAAATGTGTTCCATCTGATTCACGTGTGTTACAAAAACTGTGTTACATAGCAGCTTTTTTGGTAGAAGCAATAGCAACACGTCATCTATTTTTTTCACAATGGCAACACTATAACTTTCAATATGAAACGTCAGTGTTTTGTCAGACATCTTGGTTTACGGGCAGTAGGCAGTACTTGGTGTGTGTTATATTTCGTCATTGGATTTTAGAGACTTTTGGAAATTATTTTGCAAGGTAAGTAATAACATTAAGTTGTTTTGTAATATATATAGTTGAAAGAGACATTAAATATTCCTAAATAATGCAGTTTATTACGGATTTGCTTTGCAAGTAAAGATGCTACCTGAATTTTAGGTTATGTTCTTCACGAGTGTTTGTTCACGTATGTTGCGTGTGTTATAAAATTGTGTGACGTAACACACGTGAAAAGTATAAAGCTTAGTTCACATTGCAATACTTAGGTATAGAAAAAGCTAAATACTTGAGTGAGGCTCACAGAAAATGTACCATAACACACAAGAACTTGTAACATACGATAACTCACTGGAATGGTGTAACACACTGGGAATGTTGTTAAGCTTGATGCACATAAAGCAATAAAAAAATTGAATTTCAAATAAAATACGATTGTAGATAGAATTATTTATATAATAAAACAACTTAAAAAACAAAGAGATCAAAATTTGTACTTAGAATTACACAATCGTATTATTTTGGCATTATTTGAATATATATATATATATATATATATAGTTATATCTACCCACTTGTAAATATTCTACTCAAAATAAACCTTATCGCTAGGATCAGCTAAAAAGTATTCTTTTGGTCGTTTTGTGTTTTGTGTTATTTTAACCTGCTTAACTATTAAATCTTCAGTTACAGTGTCTTCATCTTTTATTTTGTGAATTACAAACTTTAGCTCCGGTTTTTTAATGGTTTTCAGAAATCGTATGGTAAAATAAGATTTTCCTTCTTTTTTAAAACTATCTTCCAAGAATTCTATGTAATACTTCCCCGCGGTTCTTTGATAATACCTTACAAGTCTTTGAAAGATAGCCTCCATATGTCTGTATGTATTGTATTTTTGATGTCACTTCCGAGTCATTTTTTGCATTGTCAAAGTTATTTTCATCATCCTGCAGAGTCGTAGCAATCACAGATTGTCCAGCTAAATTAGTTTTAACTCTCCCTGATTTTCATTAGAAAAAATGTTTATTTCTCTTGTGTCTTTACTTACTATTGCAAGCGCAAGTTTCTCGTTTCTCGGCTTTTGGTGATAATACATAAAAGGGTCTGTACCTTTTGAAAGTTGAAAATGATAATTTTCCTCCTTCTTTTCTATATTTCTGATATAATTTATGTAGAGTGCCAAGCAAATACTTTCTCTGTTTTTTTTTGTGTCTTTACTTCGTTTTTCCCTGCTGTCATCCTACTCACATCATCCCTTTCATAAAAGTTTCTTAACTGTGTCTGTATTAATGGGCTTTTATTTTTCTGTTTGGTATGACGAATTTTTCCTTTAAGACCTAAATAGGTAGCCATCTTAGTTTTCATACTGTATTTATAAATGTCATCACTTTTGGTAAAAACATCTTTAATTAATCGTTTTTCTTGAGTGTTTTTACTTTTGTAGCTGTCTTTTATAGTGTCCACTATTACATTATGTTCTAGCAAAACTTTTTTCACGATTTCTCTTTCTTCAGGTCGAATACTAGATAAATTTTGGTCAATGTATGCGCACGTTTTCGAAACGAGGGTCATTTGTTCAAGGGCTTCATTTTTTTGGCAATTGGGCTTGACCTGTCTTCAAAGCTACGAATCATTTGGTTTTCTCCTCAATAATTTCAAGTAACTTTTTATTTTTTTTTCCGTAGAACGGTTTAATCTTTGCCTAATTTTTTTCAACGACTTTTTATATTTTTTTAATTCCTCTTCTAGCTTTTTGTTTTCATTTTTCAGTCTATAAATGACCCTTACATTATAATTTCTCTTCTGTGTTAAAATTTGTCCATGTCCTTCTAAAGGCACTACTTCAGGCTTAGGTTCTTTCTTACTTTCTTCTTTCTCTCTCTCCACTGCTTTCTTATGATTTCTTGATCAGATGAAGGATATTCTGCTATTCTTTTTCTATTTCTTTTTGTTCTTTCTGCATTTTGTTTTTGCTGCATGCAAAAAATGATCTCCTCCAAGTTTACATTAACCAAAAATTTGGCAAAAACTTACAGCTACAATTAGATTGCAAAACACGCTGGTCAAACCTTGCTGATATGATATCGACATTTAATAAAGTTAAACTGTGTGTCGGCAAAGCATTGATCGATTTAGGTCTTGACACTAATTCGGATTACTCTTTGAGTGCAGAAGAGTATACAGTTTTGACAAACTTAGACAGAGTATTTCAGCCTATCAAACTCGCTGTGGAGGTCTTATGCCGTCGAGATTCTGACCTGGTTACTGCCGAAACGACTTTAAGATTTATGATACGCAAACTTGAAGAACTGACGACAACATTGGTAAGAAAACTAGCAGAGTCATTGAGAAACCGCATAGCTGAGCGCCGAACTTGCTTGACTTCAGTATTGATATATTTGAGAGATTATGTCAAATATGAGGAAGATTTGGAAGAGTATGCGCGAGACGAATTGTTCAAAATGTCACAGAAAGTCAGTATCCTAAAAGAAATTAAAAAAAAACTTATAGAGAGATGCAAGACGCAATACTACTATCATACACAAGAAAGCTCATCTGTCACAGAGCCACTTCCTTCAACATCAGCAGCTGCTTGAAATGATGTACTTGGCGAAAGCGAAGACACTAATGATGATGTGCCCCTTTCTGTTCTGTCTACGGCTGGAAAAAGTATTTCCCTTCAAGAGGAGCTACAAGAATCGTTGACATTGACAGCATTGAAAAAGCAAAATCGTTCAACAAATTCTGCAAATTCATTGGAGATACTCATTAAAAAAAGAGATGAATTTGTATGAAGCTGGAGGGGTTAAAGGTGAACTCCTTCAGTTTGTACACAACTGTTTGTCGACTGTGGTTCCGACTAGTGTAGAGGCAGAAAGAGCATTTTCGGCCGCGGGGTACTTGGCCTGTAAAATCAGGAGTCGTCTATCAGATGATACCCTTGATATGCTCTGTTTTTTGAGAAGCCACTTTCAAAAATAACTTATTCTTTTAATAACACTGTCTAATAATATTTACATAGCAGAAGGCTGAATAAGTGTTACATTTCGAATTATTTCGAAGTGTTTTTTGTTTTATTTTAAGTCTTTTGTTCTTAACACTGCAGATGCAGAAGGCTGATTTTCAATTTATATAATAGGAATAAAACTGACGAATATTATATTATAACGAAATATTGTGTTTTATTTTAAAATAAATGATTATAATATGCCAATTACATGTATGTTTTATTTTTATCTTATATATTGAAAATCAATAAACGGAATTAATAGTATTAGCGAATGTTTTTAGTACAAATACCCAATTGGGCGAGATCTCGGAAATCTCGTAATCTCGCGAGACTGACTTTACGGTCTCGCGAGATCTCGGCTAGGTCTAAAATCTCGCGAGATTGCATTCCCTAGCAACCACTTACCATCAGGTGGACTGTGTGCTTGTCATACTTTTTCTATATAAAAAAAATAAAAAAGAAAGAACGAATAAAAAAGAAAAAGACCGAAGAAGAAAATGAATCTATCAGAAAATACTACTTTCTAGAAAGCAATTAAAAGTTTTACCTCAACGGCAACAATTTTTACGATGCTATAATTTCGAAAATTTGTTAAACACAAAATGGGCAGACGATTCACACCTGATGAAAAAGTGATGGCATTACATTTTTTTAAGCGTGGACCAAGAGCCTACAGGATACTGCAAAATATATTTGTCTGCCATCACCTTTCACCTTAAGCAGGATGGTATCTAAGGCCAATATTAAGCTTGGTATAAATGAAAACATATTTTACCAACTTAAGAAGCAAGCATCTAAAATGAAAGCCAATGGTCAATTGTGGTTTTTGATGAAATGGCTTTAACACCAAATATTGATTATGACAGGAATAATGACAGGATTACTGGTTTAGTTGACAATGGTGATGTAGTGAGGAGAGAAATTAGATTTTTTTTTATAGAATAGGGTGATAAACGAGCACACAGTCCACCTGATGGTAAGTAGTTGCTGCGGCCCATAGACATCTACATCTATCCTCCATTAAAAATCAAAATGCAGATGCGTTGTCACCCGTGAGGACTGAGATGGAATGCCTCGTTTCCAGTAAAAAGGGTATCCGGTTCTCTACACTCACCATACGAAATACAGCAGCATTAAGCTACTATTTCACGCTGGTATTCTGTGAGAGCGTGGTCCTTCCCCGGTCGAGCCGACCCATTCGTGCTACAACTATACTACTAATATAACTGCAGCATGGCTCTACCACGTAAAAAAGAATAGAGGTATTCTAAAAAAACTATAAACAGCCAATATCATACCTATTCATTTTGTGCTGGCAGTACAAAAAAAGCTGAATTAGCCTTAATGATTAAGAGAAATATAAGAAAATTGAAGGAGTCTGGCTTTAAAGTCCTTGCTACTGTATGTGACCAGGGAACATTAAATGTTCGTGCCAAATGGAACATAGTAGATAAATATTGAAATATATATACAGGGTTACAGGTTTAGTCGACCTAGATCTTTTAGCGGGTTGTAGTTTGCATCATTACCGATTGTTTCATCTATTATAATAATATAAAAGTAACATTTTATTTCGATTAATTTATTTTATATACTGTCATTACTGCATACTTATAATTACTGTTGGATTTATTATTTTAAAATTGTTACTTTGATGAAATTTATTGATTGATCTACATTTATTTATTTATTTCTAAAATTGTGTAGATTGCTTAATTTTTAATTCATTGATTTTACTCGTTATGGGTGTAAATTGCCTGAATAAAGATGATTATTATTTAAAATTAAGTTTTGTGCATATAGTTGCAGAATTATGTACTTACTTACTTACTTATCTTCACGCACAATCCCTAACGGGGTAGCCAGAGAGAACAGATCGCCAAGTGTCACGATCCTTACATACCTCTTTCGCTTCTTTCAGGTTCATTAACTTCTTCATACATGCACGTCTAGGTATCAGAGTACTCTTGACCTACCCCTCTTCGAGCAATTTGCTCACATGGTCTTCGAAAGTTAGTCTCGTTCTACCTCGACACCTTTTAATATTTACTTTCGCTCTATATATTTTCTTCACCATTCGGTCTTCACTCATTCGCTCAACGTGCCCAAACCATTGGAGTACGCCCCTATCAATTTTTGCAGAATTATGTGATCTTGTAAAATTCGTTAAAAATAATCAGTACACCAGGGACGGGGCTGTACTATATTATATATATAGATACTATGTGGAACGGGCAGTCGCCGACTGCCCTGGCCGAGGGCTAGTAGTAATCTCGATATTTGTCAGTATTAGTTAATATGAATATATTCGTCAAGTGATATAATATTTCAAGTAATATATGAATATTACCGATATCTTAATGTACATATTACTATTCTATTCATGTAGGTATTAAGTTTATGTTACCAAGTAACGGTAATAGTTTTTATAGCCGTGTATGCTAGGTTTATATGCTTTGATAAATATTTTTGTTTTTATTAAATAAATGATATTATAGTATATGTATAAGTATTACTGAAAGTGATTTTAAGTGATTACAATTAAAATAAATTCCACTGCACAAAACAAGGGCCCTTGTTTTGTTAGTTTAATTTTTAATAATGTTTTATGATACCTAAAAATATGTGAACTCATTTTAATGAATGTCGATATAATCTTAACAAGAATTATGGGGAAATACCATGGCAATAAAACTAATATATCGCCAATAATTTTATTATATTACATTAACTGAAATATACACTATTAAAAATACCACTAGAGAGTAAAGAAATTTTAGATATCTATAAAGGGTTTTTGTATTTGTACATTGTTGTATTTATGGATTATTTCATTAGAAATAGAAATGACTTATCTCCTCAACACATAGGGAACAATTTGTTGGCCGCTATGTCCCAGGAAACCTGCATACCTTTGGATTTTCTAAAAAAAATACATGCTACGAATTTTTGCAATTGTTAGAAATAATAATGAAAATTAAAAAATTTATAGAAAAATTCAAAAATATATAAGAGTAATTTATTTTTAAAGTATAGTAGGTAATACTGATTATTGCGTAATGAAATACTAAATGTTGGTTAATTCTTTAAGATTACTATTAACTGTCGTGCACATTTGGTTTTGTCGGAAGTTTTAATATTCCTCATTTAATAAAAGTTGATTTAAAATTGAACGTATTTTTCACTACCTAAATACATTAGTTTACATAATATATAACACATACCTACTATGTATCTTCTTTGGTACAAGTCTATAATATTTCATTTCGGTTCGATATCAACCCTAGCGTTACACGCATCGACTCAAGGTCACCGGCGCTTAAGCTCTCACGTACAGGGAGTGTCACCGCTGTGACGGAATCGACTAGCAACTCTATTCCAGGTATACATATAAGTACTCTGTGACTACTTTTGACACACAGTATGGATATGGATGGAGCTGTATAGGGGGATGTTCCGAAATACAACCCAGTACACTGGCAAATGCAAATGACATCATCAATTGACACTATATAGTACTGGCGTTCCGCCGTCATATTGCGTCGATTACAATAAAACAATTTTTAATTGTGTGTGCGCTGAATGAAGCATCCCCGAATTTGTTTTTATTTATTAAAATACAAAAAATTATAGAATAATTGCTGGTATCTCCATTAAGAAGATATAATGATTTCGGAGCAAAAAATGCCAAAATAATCGCCAACACTTTTCCAATATGGCGTAAATGTATGACGTCATATACTGTCCTATGTTTTGGAACGAATCACCAGTATAGCGTTGATTCATGACGTCATTTGCATTGGACAGTACACTGGGTTGTATTTCGGAACATACCCCGAATATTTGGTATGTTCCGAAATACAACGCAGTGTACTGTCCAATGCAAATGACGTCATCATTTGACAGTTTGACACTATGTTACTAGCGTGCCGCCGCCATATTGTGTCGGATATCCGGCTATAATAAAACAATTTTTAATTGTGTGTTTGCCGAATGAAGCATGCCAGAATTTGTTTCTATTTATTCAAATACAAAAAATTATAGAATAATTGATGGTATATCCATTAGGAGGATATAATGATTTTTGGAGCACAAAATGACAAAATAATCGCCAACACTTTTCCAAATAGCGCAAAAGTATGACGTCATATACTTAGTGTTCTGTGTCATATACTATCCAATGTTTGGAACGAATCACCATTATAAAAAGATACTCTAACCATGACCAGTATAGCGACGATTCAAAATGACTGTTCATGACGTCTCATTTGCATTGGACGGAACACTGCGTTGTATTTCGGAACATACCCAATATGTGCTATGGAGTCAGTTTAATAATTTGCGCGTTATTTAAAAGTAATTACATAATATTTACGCAAAACTAAGTTTTTGTGAAAAAATTAGAAACAAAACAATGTTGAAGAAAGAATATACAAACTTCGTGAGACCACTTTCTCCTACAGACTCAAGAACTACTTTGCTAAAAAAAACATTAAGTGGAACGGAAGCTAAAAAGTTATACTTAGAGGAAGTAATCGATGTAAAAGACCCTGTTCCAGCTAAATGTGATAGCCCTAGATATCATAA